GGGTAGTGAGGCTGAGGGTGTGGGGGGTAGTGAGGATGTGGGTGTGGGGGGTAGTGAGGCTGAGGGTGGTGTGGGGGTAGTGAGGCTGAGGGTGGTGAGGCTGAGGGTGGTGTGGGGGTAGTGAGGTCAGTAGATCAGATGAGTCCTTCAGGACTGTAGTGGACACTGAATACACTATACACTATAATCAGCAGCAGCTACACTGTCCCTCCTCTCACTAAGAATGCAGCTTCACAATGAATGTAAAATGGATGCTGTCCAGGAGGTGGGAGGGTCTGGAAGGGAGGGTCTGCTGCTGATTGGCTGGAATGTGTCTGCTGACTGTGAGATACAGGCTCAAAGCTTACTCAATGATGACGAATAGGGGGCGGACCGAACAGCTCATAGGTTCGCCATCCGTGGTGAATGCGAACAAGCGATGTTCGCCAGGAACTATTCGCCGGCGAACCGTCCGGGACATCACTAATTATATATTCTGTAAATCAGAACAACTAAATTAATTTATTTTTAATTACTTTTCTTAACCTGCACTAATTATACATTGAAATATACATTTAATAAACTTACAAGATCATTTGTAATGCAGGTCATCACTCATAAAGAGTAATGTTGATTTTTTTTTGTCTCTCCTCGAAATATGCAGGAGTAATGTAATGGAAACAAATAATCAGAATAAATGAAACAGAATAAAAGAGAGTCATGCAGAATAATGTCCTATGAGTTTTGTCTGACTGCTCAAACTTACTCAAGGCTACTTGAATCTCCGTCTGTAGTTGAAGTGGTGAGACAATTATCACGTCTGGTTTTTAAACCTCTTCAGGGCTCATGTGGATTGCCGTGAGCCAATTTGCTGCGCGCTGCCACACATGTTATTCACAATCCATTTGTAGCATGTCAAGCCTCCCTGTCAGGTTCCTATCCTGACAATCTTTTCGTTGATACTGTTTCTTTAAAAACAAAGTTCCTGCACGGATTATAATTTACCACCCCTCTTTTTTCCCCCTCTTTTCTTCTCCCCTGTTCTCCTCTAACTTTTCTGCAACGCAATACACTCGCAGCCTCGTAGTCCACAAGGGAGAAAAGATCCCTACATAGACACAGAAATTCTTATAGACAAGCCACATCAATATGCTGAGCCTACCTCTTCACTGTACTATAGGTTAGACTGTCCAACCTTACGAGCATACATCCCTAAACCACTCTAGGTAGCACCTTTCACCAGCAGTACAACCTTAAAGCATTATAATTGAAGAGCCCTACGCTAGGGTTTTTTTTAAATGTGATGTCAAGTGATGTCAAGTGATGTCAAGTGATGTCGAGTGATGTCAAGTGTCAAGTGACAAGTTTGATGTATGGAAGCTTATAATACTGTTTGGCGTTTCTGACATGCAGTTACCCGGTGTATAGCACAATTGTATTTGCAGCATTGTTTATTTCCTTTTCTGTACTACTTCTTCAATAAAAAATGATAAAATAAATAAAGAAAAAAAATGGTAGTTTTTGGAGCGCTCTTTTTTAGGAAATTAAATTGCTATTTTAGATACGATTGTAACTCACTGCTGCTGACACACTCTGAATGTGGTACCCTCAAACACACATATTTAATACAAGAAGAAGTAATAAGAAAAAAGAGTGGAGCAGTAATTGTCAGTAAAGTGGCTGTTTAGGTGATAAGACCAATATAAGTGCAAATAGTGAGGTGGTGTTAAAGAGTAATACTTAATACACTTTATCCTCAAGTTGGCTTCCTCTCAGCACATATAGAGAAAAATATATACAAAACACAAGAAATACATGATAGTGTAGGTTGTAAAACCACAATGAAGTAATAAAAGTATTTCCACAAATATACCCAGAGTTCCTAGGGTTAAGGAAATACTTTAACTGAAAGATTTAGGCTCTAACAGTTCAAAGATTTATTGCAAAGATACAAATTAAAAATAACATGAAATAACAGGAGGTTTGAAAACAGTAAACACATATATACACTGCCTCTTACAAGAAAAAGTTGTCTATAAGGCACGGCATACGCCGTTACTCACTGCCCATCTTTGGTTAAACGGGTTGTGGGAGACTCTGGCTTCGTTGGATGTTCGTGGGAGCTGAAATGTAGCTTCAATTGCTGAGTTCCAGCGTGCCTTCCCGAGCCGCTATTGTCTCCTCCCCCTTCTGTGACGTCAACTCGTTTCACCGGATACCCGGCTTCCTCAGGACAGTGGCCATCTTGGGTAAGGGTATTTAAAGTCCGTTCCCATATAACCGCTGTTTCTTATAGGTTCCCTTATAAGTTCACATTAGCATATATCAAACCATTGTATTTGGTTAAACGGTTTTTATATTGCGCAAAAATGTAACAATAAAATCTATGCACAAGGGATTTTCCTATCTGTAATATTTTAATTGACTTGAATATGACAGTAAAAATTAGTAAAAAATAACACACAAATAACGTACATAATGTAAAATGTGACTTCCCCTATGGAGTGCATTAAAAACACATCTGAAAAGATTATAAAGATCAAGCTATTTATATACCTTCCATGTCTATTCTATCCACAGAGGGTAAAACCTAAGGTTTAAAAAGGGAAAGAAGAAAAGAGGAAATGTTACTTGTTTTTTAAAAATCTTTTTCATCATACATTATTGAAGAAGGTACAAGATGCAAGAAACATTGTGCATAGGACAAGGATGCTTCAATCCCCTTGAGGACCTCACACAGTTCATAGGTCAGAATATAAGCTCTTATTTTACCATCTAACATCTGCAGGCATAGTGTTAATCGACAGATAACACAGAACCTCTGAGAAGCCTGCATCAGGTACCGATGGGGGCCATCCCACACCCCAAGACTCCAGTTCCTTCCTAAAAAGTCTGGAACTCAACCAGCCTACGGTTCCGACCCCATTGCTGGATGTCCGTGGGACGTTACAAATATTGTCCTCTTCGTTCCTTGCTCTGCAGTAGACACAGGCTGAGACTGTCCACCTACCTCTTAGTGGAGAGGAGCCCTCTCACTGTGAAGAGTCCTGTCAGTATTCTCGTTATATTGTTCTTGTTTCACTGATATTAGTATATTCTACATAGTTTCATTGTACCTCTGCCACATATTATGCTAAAAACAACATATAAAGACAGATATGCCACCACAACCTACAAATTGAACACAGTCAAAGGTCAACAACGAATAAATGACCAGGGTTTAAGGTTCATTTTATTTGCTCAATTGTGATAAAGTTACAGCTTGGGTTTTATTAACAATGTATATGAGAATGAATATTAGCATTAAGTGCTTGCATGAATGTGGGGATTTTTATTATTTTAAGGATTACTCCAGTCTAGGATTCACTGATGCTTTTTCTGTTCTATTAGCATTAGTGAGTCACTGGGATCACAGTCTCCATTTGTTTTTGTATTGCTAAAACAAAATGCTAAAATACTATTTTAGAGCAATTCTTAAATTTCCACTTAAAGTGAACATGTTGGAGACCCTTAGAAAGATGACCGTTTAAACTCGCTACCAGAAATACACGTTGTCGGTTGCTGAATAAGCAGAACAGTGCGTAGCTGATGTAATCTCCTCACATGGCGTTTGCCGTAACTTCTGTCTAAAATATGTTTGCCTGACACGTAATACACTGGTAGTAGCTCAATTTGAAACATGTTGTCTGTGATACCTGTGTATCACTGAAAGGCTCTACCCGAACGTTCAGCCCAAAAGTGAGGTGCATGGAACGCTTTGCCCAGTAGTTTCATATTATGCAGGAAAAAAAGTTGACCCCAACATAAAATAGAATTTGTTAATATTCTTGTAGTTTTTGTTTTAAAATATATTCATATTTTTCTACAAGCTATGCATGTTTATGTTATAAACGTACTAGACACATATCTATCCTCTGACGCAAATCTTATCATCAATTTGAGTTAACTTCTTAAGAGATGAGTTAAGTCACCACTCATTATTAATCAATTTCATGTCAATTCAAATAATGAGTGTAACTTTGGAAAGATAGGAAGTTATTTGTAATAGCCAGTTAAATCCCCCCCTCTTTCCCCTGCTTTAATAAAATTAACCCCTTTCATGTCAAATGATCACTGACTACAGTGATCAGTTGGCAGGGACTACATTTTAATGTCATCTGATTTTTTTCTAACCCCTGAGGGTTAATTAATTTATTCTTTTTAACCCTCAGGGGTTATATTTATTTGATTAATTAAGTAAAATATTTAAAAATTATATATGTAGCTAGCTGGGGTGGGTGGAAGTTAGTGGGGAATTGGGGAATTTGGTGTTCGGCTAGCTAGGGGTTAACGTTAAAAAAGTTTTTAAAAAGCTTTAAAAAGTTTTTTAAAAAGTTAAAAAAGTTTTAAAAAGTAAAAAAATCCCACCCCCCTTTACTCAGTCCGAATAAAAATTAACCCCTTCCCTGCCAGTTGATCACTGCCTACAGTGATCAAAATACAGTTCACAGTATTATACTGTGATCTAATTTTTTTTTTAACCCCTGAGGAATAACTTGTATTTATTTTTTAATTCTCAGGGGTTCAATTTATTTAATTAATTAATTTTAATATTTTAAAATTATATATTTTGCTAACTGTGATGAGTGGAAGTTATGGGAAATTGTTAGTGCTGCTTACTGCTAGTTAAGGGTTAACAGTAAAAAAAAAAGTTTATAAAAAAAGAAAGTTGGAAAAGTTTAAAAAATGTAATAAGTAAAAAAAAGTTGAAAAATGAGTTTTAAAAGTAAAAAAAGTTTAAAAAAGTAAAAAAATACATTAAAAAATGCTCATTACCACTCCACCTGAAACAAACTAGAAAAAATATGATCCAACGCTAAGGTTCAAAATATGCCTTTTGAATACCATGGGATGTATTCTTTAAGAAATGATATGCCTTTATGGGGTAGTTTGAATATATAGCCTGCTAAAATACTCTAAAATGGGACATGGACACAGAGTAAAAATTCAAAGTTTGAAAAAAAAAAAAAAACTGGAATGGCTGTGTCTCAAATGTGACCCTTCAATGTCCACATATACCTGGCAAAGGTACATACGGGGGTATTGCTGCACTCAGACGACATTGCTGAGCAACATATGAAGTATTATACAGTCGTAGTACAAATAAGGTTTGTAAAATATACGGTGCAAACTCACTTTGTGTGTCAAAAAGGCAGAAGAAATGCTTATTACCAATACACTTAGTACAAGCTAGGTTCAAAATATGCCTTTTGAAATACCCTGGGATGTCTTCTTTAAGAAATGGTATGGCTTTATGGGGTAGTTGGATTACCCCATAAAGGCAGGACAAGAAATTTCATTCTGATAATAGGGGTGGGTCGCCTAAACGGACCCAGAAGCGATATACACCAGAGCTGGGTCTATAGCTCTCTGTTTGTGAGTTTAAATATTATTGTATAAATCTCTGTAAAATTATATACAGTCTATACTATGTTTGGTTTTCTTTTATAGATATCAACACATTTCTTTCTGGCACGCAAGGGAACACCCCTCAATTTCCCAAAGGTGAATAATTATATAATCTCCATAATACAAAAGCGCTTCATTCTTTTTACTGAACAGTTGGATTATGTAGCCTGCTCCAAAGTGGGACACGGATGCATCAAAACCCTCCATGAAAATTCACACTTAAAAACCTGAACTTGTCACGTCTCTTTTACAGCACTGTAACTTCACTAAATAGTTTCTAGGTCATACATTGGGCATATTGTTTTACTCAGAAGATGTAACTGAGCATAATTTGTTTTTTTTATGACAGTGGTACATATCAAGTGTAAGAAATACTCAGCAAAAATGCAACATATATGTAAAAATTCATTTTTTTCCCCTCACCACAAACATTGACATAAATTAGTGAAAAATGGTGACAAGTTAAGGGATAATATACACCATATAAGATACCCTGGGGTGTCTTCTGCATCAAATTAAAGCCCTTTATGGGGTTATTTGAACAGTAACACTGCTTTTATACCCTAAAATGAGACAAATTCTAAATATATAAACTGAAATAGCCTTGTCTCTTACATGACATTGTAGCATCACAGAAAAGTACAATAGGGGTATCGTTATACTCAGCAGATGTAGCTGATCACAATATGGGGTTCTGTGCAGGAATAGCACACACCAGCCTTACAAAATACACATTACACAAACCTTGTTATATATGTATATGCCAAAATAGAGAAACAACACAATGTTAGTCCAATATTTAGCAGAGATTGGCAATGAAATGGCTACATAAAAAGTGTCAAACTAACCTTAGGTAAATAGCCTGTGATGACTACTTTATATAAATATATACTTTTGTGTGGCCATTTTGTTTTCTGTGATGGCTACTAAAACTACAAGACAAACATACCACCTTCTAAAATTGTTTCACATTAAAATTTTATTTTATTCCTTGTA